CATATAACCATGAATACATATATACATATATATATATATATATATATATATTGATAGTATACACTTCGATATAACAATGAATTCAAGCTTGTCAATACTGAGTGCTCTGCAGATGATTCGTATAGTATCATATATAAATATATAGATCGAAATGGCAGACCGTCAGTTCCTAAATGTTTATTACATGAGCTCGATATGCGGTAGTACGAGGTGTATTCCAATTGCAACGACATGATAAACCATCGGCAGTCCCGCACAGTTCAATATAGCGACCGCCTCAGCGATTGCGATACTGACATTAGGTTAGGAATAGGCAGGATACAGACAGGTGGGCGTCCTCGACAAGCAGGTTACAGACATGCGATTATTCATACGATACCTGAGTAAGGACGCTGCTTTCCAGTCTTCCTTTATTGTCAACATTTCCGAACAAGATGTTCGATAGCGTATTGTCAGTCATGGTGGCTGTGTGTCAACTAAGTCGTCACGATGTGAGCAGTATAATTTGTTTGTAAAGCTGACGGCCGCAGGACATCCTACATGTCCTTAATTAAGATTTGTGGTCTATATAGTTAACTAAGCTTTGTACTATATATAGTGCCTCGTTAAAAGCCGTGTATACTCGTAGAGATACAAGCGAATGATCACGGTCACATTCCCCAGCAACGGTACAGTGCGGTGTGCGGTGCGTGTATATAACTTGGGCACCCTGGCTGTTGCGATGCTACTGCTATGAAAGCTATTGACTATACAAGTGGCTTGTTGGCGTATGAGATTTTATGTCCTGCGTTTTGGTGTACGCCTCACTGTACGAATGAGTGTGCGTCTGTCCATATGCTAACACACCAGACGACTGCCATTTAAACTCCACATCCAACGCGTTCTACACGATGAAAATGCATATGTATCGAATACATACACTCTTGCGAACACTTATTACATACCCTACCCTACCTGTAAAAATCTGAGTAAGGTTTTGTCGACAGTGCCAAGAATCCTATTGGACAGGGTGTGATTGTTTTTATTGCAAAAAAAAAGAGTTCGGCAAAGTATACTGACTTTGGGTTTAGCCTTCTCCCCTGAAAATTGAACACCTAAAAACCGAGGTGTTTATATATATTTAAAATGTAATAAATATATGTAGCGTTCTATAGAAGCTTATCTATACATCAATATAAATAGAATATGTACCTGCAATCCGACGAGTTTGTTGTTCAGTGTAGACATCGATGCAAATATATACATCAAAAGCACTCATACCACTGCATAATTTCGCTTACGTCTCCAGATTTAATTGAGGTTCTCTTAGGAGTTCACTTAAATAGTCTCGGCGCACTATCTCACTAACTTCACACATTCAATGCGTTTCTGCTGCTTCCACATCGGCACCTTCCACTGTATAGCCGCCGCGCTTCTATTATACGCTATACTATCACTCCAGCACAGATCCAGTACCATGGACTTCACATTAGTGCTCCATGTCGATATAAATAGAACACTGCTCATGTCCGATAAAGCTGGCAGGAAGACTACCGAAGGTATGTCCAAGATGGTGCTAAGAGTAGCCTGTGCTGGCTACTATTAATATCTGCTGTGTATTAGTATATACAAGCGTAGCTGATGAAGCTTGACACTGCCGTGTGTTTGTACCCGTTCGTTTTATACCGCAACTTGTAGCTGTCACATATTGTCCACGTACTTACAAGCATATATATATATATATATGTGTGTGTATATATATTCACAGGTACACACATGTATGATAAACACACACATGTTTGAGACAAAAGGGCATATTTCATGTGCGCATGTACGGCATTTCTTGTTTGGAGTACCATATCCTCGAGTGTTATGTTTAGCATCTACTGGGGATGGGTGTGCAATATCCAACCCCAAAATACACACTACGCATGATTCCTTAACCTGCGTCAGTTGAGTGGTCGAAGACGACATACAGTGCAATGGCGGGCACTAATAATACAATGCTTCCGGCCAGTAAACAGGACCAGATGTCGGTCTTTAATATGAGTACTTGCCCATTGCTTAGCACATTCTGTTAATCCCCGTCAGTCGAGAACTTACACAGCTGTGCATTACGTCGATGATCCAAAGTATAACTGTGCTGTTCTGAGCATGCAACTGTAGTTCTAGTCGAGGTTTTACACTGGCAACGTAATTTAACTCGATAGTGTACTGTATACTCACATACAGATATGCTTGCGCTCTATTCCTCCCGATTACCATATAGCTCCAGTCCAGTATTTCCCACAGAGGTGGTTTTTGTTCAGACCGTTGCTACAGAGTTTACTTACACATAGATACGTTTGCGCTGTGTTTTTCCAGTTCTCTTATTGTTCATTTGCGACGGTTCATTTGCGACGGTTCATTTCAGCTGGACAGTACATATCATGTTTATACATATATACGTTTGCGCTCTTTCCTCCTCAACATGGTTTGTAGTTCTAGTCGAATACGTCCCTTAGCAACGGATGCTAGGCCGCTTAGCAATGCATAACATACCTACTCATTCAGTATCTTGTTTATTCTAAACCCAGATATTATCAGCGAAACTGTGGCCAGCTGTGTGTATGGCCGCGTTGATGCCAATGGTATCTGGGTGGCGGTTTCTCACGAGCCATTCTCGACGCCTCCTGACGAAGAGTCTGTAAGTCGTGTGTGTGTGTGTGTGTGTGTGTGCATAGTGTCACTGCAGGGCTTGTTTAGTCGCGTGTCAGTATATGACTGTATGCGTTGATCCCATCTGTGCGAATGTCCGGTGTGTACATACACTTAAACCCTAAAACTCGTAACGTTCTTTACAACGCAGACCTGATGCGCAGAGCATATACATTCACAAACCCTAAACCCTAAACCCTTCGTATGATGTGGTGTATGTAACTGCTCCACTGTACCGGAACACCTGGGGGCTTACCCATGCCCAGAGCCTCAAGTTCTGTCGCTGAAGTTGTGCATTTGCCCATCTGCTCGCGGGTCACGAAAGCAAACACACGCTCCTTCAGATCGAACATAACTACCTTTTCCAAGTCTTTGCTTATACGTCTCTGGTGCAACAGTTGTGAGCTTATTTGATCTCCGGAAACAAGCCGTTCTTGCTCCTGCCGCTCATTAGTAGTACTAGTATCTGTATGTGGGATGCGGAGTTCTGTATCTGTAGCGGTGGTATTTCTCTTGCGAGTCACGTCGAACAATTTAAGCATCGCGCTAGTTATATTTCTTTTGCATATTGAATACTTGCATATGCATATATACATACATATGCTCTCTCTAGATTTTTTGCAACCACATATCTGCATATTATGTATATACATTCACATAATTTTTGCATCTGTTTTGCACTCTATATACACACACGTACTTACTTCTGTTGTTTTGCACCTACACACGTGCCCCACATCTGCGCGCGTGTGCATACATTTGGGGTACTTATTCTCTCAACCTTACCTCTCTACCATCAACACACCCGCATCAGCTCGTGGACTTCAAGCACTATATCGACAGTATACGCTTCCCGTACCCTCCACTCTCTGAGAGTGTCAACAAAGAAGAGCAACGTGAGAAGAATTATGCTGTGAAGGAGCGCCGGAAAGCCGCACTCAAGACCTTCACCAGTCCAGGCTTTCCCGGTGAACAGTACAGGTGAGCTGTTTGTTGGTGTGTTGCGAAGCGTCAAGCCTTCGACGTCAATCATGCCTGCAGAACGGGAGCGGTTTGAGTTTTTATGTATTGGTAGAAAGAGTGCCGATTTTTATCCGCTCATGTTTAGTTGTAGGCGATATCAAGCGTTTCTTCTGTATTCTATGTTTATTTGCCGGGAACGTGTCGGAGTACATGTATTCAGCTGAAGGTTTCTTGTGAGATAGATTGAGTATATATATATATATATATATATTCATACATACACACACACGCACACACACATATATATATATACACACACATATATATATATATATATGTATAAATTTGTATATATATATATATATAAACGTAGGTATATACATTTTATATATATATCTGACTAATGTATGCTTGGTGCCGGTTTTATATATGGTCAATACCCATAGCACGTGTCTATTTTGTCTTAGTTATTACGGGATTCGTTCCTCTGCGCCGAGATAGCTAAGATGTTTGTGTTTAGTTGATAGCATGAATCGTACGAGTCTTTCATGCATATTGCCGCTGAAAGATTATATATCTTGCCCGTTTGCTTCATGCAGAGATACTTATAGCCGATTGCTGGATACTCTACGCGTGCAGGGCCGGCCGGGAGAGTACAGGACTATAGTCAACTCTTTCTTCCACTTGCTGGTCCGCTTAGAGAGTACAAATGTCAGATATCGTCTCATATTCAGGTAAATTGGTAGTGAAATCAGGTGTGTATAATCCACTCTTTCTTCATACAAGTCTACTTAGAGGGTACAAATGTCAGATATTGTTTTATATCCAGGTGAATTGGTAGTGAAATGTGGGGTATATAGTTCATTTTTCTTCATACTAATGCGCTCAGGAAAAAAAATGTCAGATATCGTCTCATATTCACGTAAACTGGTAGCAAAATCAGAGATATATAGCCCACTCTTTCTTCACAGTCCATTTAGAGAACACAAAGCCAGGTAACGTCTCATATTCAACTAAATTGGTAGCAAAATTAGGTAAAATTAGCCCACTCTTTCTTCACACTAGTCCACCTAGAGAACATAAATGTCAGGTAACGTCTAATATTCAACTAAATTGGTAGCAAAATCAGGTACATATAGTAATAGTAGGTTCATGTTGTGTTGTCCTTATCGGCTCGGTTTACGTCCGGACCGTAACCCAAGCCAACGAAGTCATTTGTCCTGACTCTCTTTTCAGATGATCTGTGGCTTTTCAGTATCAAAACTCATTGACAGCGTCGATATATACATCCCCACTGTACACCCAATTGCATTCAGCAAGTATAGCTTCGCCTTAGGCATTGATGGGATTGGTATGGTGTTATGTTACGACAGTCGAACGGCCCCTGGTTTCGTGCCACATTCCTAATTAAGTATTGTTTTCGAGTCTAAAGAGCTACAGTGTTATTAACGTCTGGTTACATAATATAAATTTAGTCAGAATTTACGTATATGCCTAGAGAATGTGTGATTGGTTGCTATATTTAGAACTTTTCTAACCTATTGCACGAAGTGGCAGTGGCCATGAGTGGATTCTGCGACACCCCCTGGACTCGTGCCACGCTCTTGTATATACATTATGGATGAATCTAATTTGTGCTTGGCTGCTATATTTAGAACCTTTGGCACCGATCTGGACGAAGTGGCTGTGGCCATGAACGAGTTCTGTGACGGTCTCAACCCCGACTTCCCCGAAGTGAACCTGCCACATTTGAAAGTGAGTCATTCTCTGGTCTGCACCAAGTACAGCATTCGGGTTGGGTGCATGTACTTGAATATATAAATATATATATATATATATATTAAAACCCTAAAACCCTAAAACCCTATATATATATAATATAACCACATCAATGTGTCCGTCTCTAACTGTTGCTATCGAATATGTTGTGACTAGTTTCCTCGCACTCCTACACTTCACAATCCAGCCATCAGTTCGCTTTTCAATCTCTGGAGTGTATCTAGAGTTTAGAATTTTGGGTGTTTAGTCTCTCGCAGACCGGTCGTTCCATGTTCAATCGTAGCCGTGCAAGCAATTAAAACTACACAATGCTCATCATCCTGATTTTGATTTATTGGCACGCATATCGGTGGTACTGGACACTATATATAGTACGTGCAGTTCGGTCCTGATATTTTTTTTAATGTTAATGGCCACCGTACAACTCAACTCCTAAGAAACTACAATTTTCTCTGTTTGATAGCCAATAATTCCATATCATCAATAGTACTTTTTTTATTCACAGTGCATGCTAGCAGAAGGCCTTGCTTGTTTCAAATTGAGGTCGATTATTTTGTCTTTCTTAACTCACAGGTACGGGAACCATCTTAAATGGAATCAAGTTATCCTTTTCTAACTCATAGTTATACTTCATTGCGCTCCTTTGCTTAGTTACATTTGCCTCGAGATGCTGGTGCATTCTTCCGCGACGGCACCAATCAATACTTGGTTCTCGGTATGGACCTGTCAAGTGCACATATTTCTATTCTAATCTTGTTCGTGCTTCTTCGATATCCGCCTACGTGTTATAATTACAATCACTGCAGTTTCAGTTGCCTCTGATTCTCTCCAATCGATGAGTTCGGCGCGCGGATGGTCGTTCGTGGAAAATGTCTGTGCCGCGTTAACGCTTACTATCAGCTCTGTCATCTCGTTATCATTGGCGTGTGCCGTGTGCACTTCTTGCGTTTCCACCGCCTGTCATTTGGATCTCATTTGGTTTAGGGTTCAGAGTTGTGTTTAGAGTATAGGGTTTTAGACATTACCCTCATTTTCCTGACATCCAATCCGTCCCCACAGGAACGCTACAAAAACCGGTAACCATGGCAACAGGAGCTTCATTCTGTAAGTGGTGGTGTGTGGTTGAGTGTATCTATCATATTCTCCCCCGTTTTAATGCTGGACACGATGATTCGCTGAATGCATACGCACACCCGACCCTTGCAGTGCTGTGGATAGTCTAGTAGCAGCTTGGCTCTTTTTTGCGCTGGAAATACCTACCATGCTCCATATTACAGTTGCACCCGATATGTTCGAATAATCGGGGCTCTCCTTTGTGCTTGATACGTTTGATAGGGCTGATGGGGCCGAGGCTGTTCACAAACATGGTTTGCATATTATTTCGAATTGCTTTCGAGTTGTTCCAAGTTGCTTGTGTGTTGTTGTTGGCGTAGCAACTATTTAGTATTTCAGACGACTTTCGATACGCCTGTGGTCTTGGCCATGCCATATTTGGTTATCGTCCGTATGACCGAATATGTAAGTATAATTTGTAATTCAAATTGGGGTATTTTATTTTATTTTATCCATTCTCTACATACAAACAGCTGTGGTGATTCTGGGAAATCGGGTTATTTTATTTTTTCATTCTAGACATACTGACAGTAGTTTTGAGGGGAATTTTCTTGGTTTCATCGGGTCATAGGACCTTTGCATTTACCATCGCCACGTTCCACTTCAACAGTGTGTGCTGTATGTGACCCAGAGTCCTGTGCTTGCTGCGCATTTATATATATATATATATATATATATATATGTGTGTGTGGATACTTTCAACAGCGTC